TCATAGTATGTGACAGATAGTCTGGGATGATACTTATCAAAGTTGAGGCTGCAAAATCTGCCACTTTTCGGTGACGTAGAGGGCGCAAACCGGCGAGTTTTTCCTGATAAGATCCTCTCACCACTTGAAAAATTGATATATCGTACAAAGAAAATATTTGGTTTTGTTTATTTTTCAGATACAATATTTTCATATACTTCAAATAATTAATTCGATACAAATCTCTACCAATCACATTGTCTGAACTCTTAAGGACATTTATTTATTATTTTAAGGTTACTTATAATTTAAATTAACTTGTAATTAGCCGGTAAGTTTTTATTAATCAAGTCTTAAACTGTAAATTTGTCCCCTTTTTTAAAAGTGGAAATTATAGGAATCCCTAGTGTTAAAATCCTTTATTCTAAAATCAGAAGAAAAGTTTCATGTTTCAAAAATCAAATATATCATGATTAAATATTAAATATTAATTATACAAATTTCATTTCAAAACCCTAATCAATTTATTTCCTCTCCATCTCCCTCTCTCTCTTCACTGTCTCTCTACCTACGTCGCACCCACCTCAACGACGCAACCACGCCCTATTTTGACACTGGAACCACTACTCATTTAGCGGTGACAGGCGTGACACTTCTCCTCCTCTCCCTTCATCTCTCTTCCTCAATCTCTATTCTTCTCTCCCTCTCCCTAGTTCCGGAACCACCCTCACTGACGGCGGCGAGGCACAATGGAGTGGCGGTATGCTCGTGGCTCAGCAAGGCACAGCAAGCGCGACTCTGATTCTGCTCAATCTGTTTCGTCGCCTCGATTTTTTGGGAGTTTTTATTATTATTATTATTATTCGATCTAATGTGCAGTGGTGGACAGTGGTGGTGGGTGTGAGATGGCATGGGAGATGTGATCTGGTGGTGGTGGTTGCAGATTGGAGCCGAAGAAGAGAATGGGTGTTTGTAGTTATTGGTGATGACGACGGTGGTGATGGTGTTTGAATGGTGGTAGTGTTGTGGTGGTACCTGGAGGTGGCGGATCTGGTGGTTGAGGCCGATGTGTAGTGTCGGGCATTCACAGCACTTGTGTGCAGTGGTTTTGTGACTAATGAAGTGACAAGAGATTTTGGGTGGCGGTGGTGGACAGTGGTGGTCGTGGCAGTGGGTGCGATGGTGAAGGTGAGATATTGGTGGCCGTGGTCTGTCGAGGTGGATGTATTGATTTGTTTGAGACAGTAGTGGTGGTTCTGGCAGTATCGTTGGTGCTGTTGGAGGCAGTGGTTGTCGCAAGTGTTGGTGATGGTCACAGATTATTTGATTGATTTTGACTATTAAATTGGTTAATTTTTGATCAATAAACAATATGTGATCAATAAAAAATAATTTGTAACCAAGATGTAGGCCCCATTTGACCACATTTTTTCAAAAAAATACATTATTCAACAGTGATTTGACATCATTCCAACCACACATTCTTCAATAAAAAAATATTACACACAAATTCAAAATTTTTTCTTATTTTTTAACTACACATTTTTCATCAATACACTCTTCAAAAATACATTTTCATTCCAATAATGTGGCTCAAACAAGGACATAATGTGTGAGCTAAAAAATTAAAAATCTGTGATCTACTATTATGTATAGACTTATAATATTTGTGACCTGTGACCCATAAAAATTTGTGACGTGTAAATTTTTTATTTGTAATCGATGAACGATTTGTGACCTACAAATTTTTTAAATTGTGACCTTAAAATCACTTGTGACATTAAAAAATTTTGATTTGTGACCCAATAATAATACGTAGCTAATTAAATTGTAAATTTGTAACCAAATTGCATAAATCTGTGACCTTAATATATCTAATTAATAAAATAAAATATAAGATTAATTAATTAAATTATAAATAAATTTTACTGAATATCTGATTTTTGAAATTTGAAATTTTTATTCTTACTTTAAAATGGGGAGTAGCTATCCTCTTACATCTGAAATTTTCCCTTTTTAAAATGTTTTATAAATTTCTCCCAAAAAATTAGGATAAAAAGGAATCAGCCCAAAAATAAGAGGCTAAGGCCCTGTTCTCTTTACCGTTTTTGGGCCGTTTTCTGTTTTCGATTTTTCAAAACGGTGAAAACGTGTTCTCTTTTCCATCTTTGAAAACGAATTTTCGAAAACGAAAAAAAATTTGTGAAGAAAACACAAAACGACTTTTTTGTCGTTTTGGACGTTTTCAGTGTAAAACTTGAAAAAATTGAAAACGCGGGAAACAACTTTTTTTTTTTTTTTTTTTAGGTGGTGTTGTGGTGATTCTCAAAATTCAAAAAAAAAAAAATCATTTTTTTTTGTTTTGAGAAACTATCAAAAAGAACGCATTTTCAATAATTTCAAAACAAACACTCAAAACACAAAACTCAAAATGAATTCAAAACACAAAACTGAAATACAAAGAGAACACCCTCTAAATCTCCTGGAGGTTCGTTTTCTTCAGCACATTATTCCCTCCCAATACTAAAGCAGCGTTCTCTGAAATTAAGGAAAATTTTCTCTTTTCAAGTAAAAGTTTGATTTTCACTCTTTCCGACAAACACAAAAGTGTCATTTAAAAAAGATAAAAAGATTGTTAATCTTAATTGACATTGAATTAATAATTTTTATATAGATTATTCCCGTCTATTTGCATATTTAGAATTAAAAATGTCAGTTTTAACTCTCCTAGAGATTCCTATTAGAATCGAACTTTAAAAAGTTCTCCAAATTGCAACTAATAAACATTTAAAATCATTTCAAAAAAAAAAAATTTGAAAAGTATTTATAACAGTAAAATGAAAATCGAAAAATATTTATAACAATAAAAAGACAAATGAGATTTTTGTTCCCATCTACTTGTGTAGTTCATTCTCTCTCCTAGTTTTTCGCTTCCTTGCCTGCGATAGTCTGTAACCCTCCATCCTTCACTTCATTGGCTAGTAATTGTTATGAAATCATTATTCCAAAGAGAAACATTCCGAGGAACGCGCACAAGTGGTGAAGAGAAAGGAGCCGAAAAGAATGAATAGATAGTATCACAAGTGAATCAGGTAGAACAATTAGAACAATGTAAGACGAAAGAAATCAAAGTGTGAGGTGTTTTAGGAATGGAATATAATTTTATTTTCTTCTAAGTTTAAAAAAATAATAATAATAGATAAATAAATTCATACTATACAGAATCCTCCAACTCCAATCTACCTGTCCTGCCAACAGATCTGAAATCTGAATCCTTGAAAACCCAATACCCAAATTTCTTGTGAAGAAGAGATAAATAAAGTAGAAAAAAGATAATAAGATGGGGAAGAAATGGTGGAGATGCTTCCAGTGAGAAGGGCAGTCACACCAGATCCCAAATCTACAGCAGAAAATTTTGAACTATCTATACCCATGGAGTAGTAACCTTTGCGCCATCCTTAAGAGTCATCCAAGTTTCCCATAATATTAAATCGCCAATGCAGTTATTAATTAGTGCTTAGCATTCCACATAAATTGAACTTTCAGTTGTCTATAAATTCTCATGTTGATGCAGCAAAAGCTGACTTGAATTACATTGGTTTAGATCAAGAAATTGGTTGTATTAGTAAATGGTAGCTGCATTGGCCATTGCTCCAATGGATGGATATAATTAAGTTACTTGGAGGTACTCCTGAAATGCTTATGGAAAACTACAGATTCCAAGGGGGGATTTGAAATAGATAAAAGTAGTAGTAGCAGTTAAAATCTAGCGTGCACATTTGCAGATAGTTGTTTTATTAAAATTAAATAATGTGTAGAAATGCACATGTAACATGCATTGGGTATCGAGACGGGAAATTTTGAGAATCATATAACTAGAACAGTATATATAAAGATAAATTCCAAAAAACTGAGATACAGGAATGTCTTAGGCCTGCATAATAAAATAAAAACAGATTCTAATTAATTACTCCAACAACACCAAAAGTACTTTTCTTCTTTAATTAACATATCATCCCCTATTAGTCTTTCTTGCGGATTCCCTTTGTATGCCATGCTGTGGGGTCAACACTAAACTAAAATTTCACAACAAAAAACAACATAAGACGGGCAGACATTTATGAAGGAAAAAAAAAAAAAAAAAAAGAGAGCGAGCGAATTGGATTATATATATGTACCCAATAAACTCAATTCATAAGAAGAAAGGAGTGGGTGAAAAAATAGTCCTTTTTTTTTTTTTTTTTGCTTCAAGATTTACCTGAAAGCAAGAGTTTGTTCGCAGAAAATCAAGCCTCCTAAGAGCAACTTCACAGCTTTTGTGAGACAATAGGCTCAGGATCCTTAGCAAATTCCTTGAACAGCTCGATACATTTGCAGTCTAATCCATAAGATGCATGTATAAGATTAAAGATCAAGTAAACTATATATAAATGAAATCAGTTTATTTATTTATGCCTATTCTACAACCATAAAAATTTGAGCTTCACTTCATGGTAATCAGTAGAGTCTGTACTAATTCAACATGCAAACCGATGTAGGTCGTTGCAATATATTATTATCAAATAATATTTTTTCTTAAAATGAAATGTAAAAAACAACTGGAACGTGTTCTTTTCATCTTCTTAAAATTAAAAATGAAACGTAAACTACAAACTACCAATTTTTTCGAGAATTTTCGAAAAATGACAAGTATTAGTTCTTTTCTTAAGATTCCTAATATTCAGAATCAAAATGAATTGAATACTTCAATCCCCTTAAAAATTTTATATCAACACCAACTCATAAAATTAATTTAAATGAAAACAAAAAATAATTTATAGATTTGCGTCTGGGGAATAATTTAGTCCCCAAAATAAGAAAAAATACTTCTAGCCCGACAACTAGACTTGCTGAAAGAATATTTTTCATTCTAATTATTGTCATGGTCAACTTACTATAATATGATGAGTATACCTCAAATGGCATAAGAAGAATATGTCAAAAATACAAGTGGCAGAGGGCATACATGTAGTAGAACCAAGACCTTCGATTGCTGCAATAGAAGAAGAGCATCAACAGCTTTAAGTCTAACCATGGAATGGTCTGAGGCATTCTGAAGAACCTGGGACAGAGCATGAAAAGCTTCTCTGTCCCCCACTTGGGCCAAGCAATAGGCAATCTGAGGAACAGATCAATAAAACATTATATGTTTCAAGTAATGGAGTTAATTCTGTGGAGAAAGTGGCACAATGATGGGCCAACTGGGCTGGAATTAATCTGCTGTTTCAGTGGGCCGGGTCGTCCAAATTGTTAAGTGATTGCTATGTTGTTTTTGCAGAAATTGTAAGCTGGCGAAACACGTTTTTTGTTATAATAAATGGATGCCCAGATTTTGACAAGTGTCACACGTTACACCATTGGATGAAGACTCTAGTGGGTTTCATATTAAAATGGCATTAGGGTTGGACGTCCAGCAGAACCAAAAAACAGAATCAGTTTTCATTCTCTCACCTCACGAGTCTCGGCCTCTCGTCTCTCTCTCTCTCGGTGGTCCTTCAATCTATCAATTTTTGCACTCCAAAAATTAGCCCCTGTTGATGAGAAATTAATCCAACCTTGTATAGATAATCTTGAGTGATTTAACAAGGTGTATTGATGTTATTCTTGAGTGAATACCATTGTCCAATGTATAGAGGCTTATGTTTAAATAATCTTGAGTGATTGTTGTATAGGCTTCGAATCATCATTCTTGAGTGAATGTTGTATGGTTTATGAGGCTTAATTTTGGGAGAAATTTTGTGTGATTTCGGCTGAGTGCTACGAAGATTGTATCAGACAGATTTTGGTTCCATTGATATAGTGATTTCTTCCGTTTGACGGAAGCTCAAAAGGGGATTGGGAACAAAGTTTTGAACCTCTTGCGTTAGGGCGAAAATGCCGCGTTCTTTCTTGTGTTTTTGCATTTTTTCTTTCATTTCAGTTTACTATTTTTGTTGACTTAAGTGGGCTGATTTCTTGAACTTCTCGTAACAGTGGTATCAGAGCTCGTGACGGGGGTTCTTGGTGCCGATGTTGGTAGACTCGAAGGTTTCTTGCACTGGTTCAGTTGATCTCGTTTATTTCTTGAAACCCTAATAAGGGATTTTGGTGAGTTCGTTCCATAATTGTCGAGTTACATATATAATATTTGTCTATACTGTGAGACTTTTGTAACTGACTTAAAATCCCTAAATCTGAGACTTTATCTTGACAATGCCTTTGTCTAGAAATCGTAAGTTGTCTGGAATCTAAAAATTGTCTTGATTTATAAGTTGACGATTTTGGGCAAATTTTATGTTTTCTGCATGAGTTTATTATAATGTATATGGCATGTTATACTTGTGACTTGACACTGCTGGTTTTTGTGTAAACTGCTTATTCATGTGGTGAATGGACTGATGAGATCTTACTGCATAACATGTATTGTATAACTCACTTGCTAACTGTGCACTTTAAATTTGATTATGGTGTATGACATTTGAGTTCCTGCAAGTTGAATATACTGTTGACTTTGTATGTGATCTGCCTGCATTGTTTTTTTTATCAAATTGAGTTTTGATAATGTCAACTAAAGTTGAATTGGAGATTTTTAATGGTAAAGGAGACTTTAGTCTCTGGCGCCAGAAAATGCGAGCCCTTTTGCTTCAACAAAAATCATGGCCTAATGATATGGAAGAAATTAAGAAAACTGAATTTGATGAAATTGCATGGAGTTCTATATTCTTGCATTTGTCTGACAATGTGTTGAGAGAAATTGGTGAGACAAAAACTGCTGCTGAGTTGTGGAAAAAATTGGAAGATACTTATTTGAATAAAACCATGCCTAATAAAGTGTATCTTCTAAAACAATTTTTTGGTTTCAAATTGGACCCATCTCTTGATCTTGACGCTAACATTAATAGATTCAACAGATTATCCCGTGACCTAGCCGACTGTGATGAGAAACTCTCAAAAGAGCAGCTGGCTGTGATTTTGTTAAATTCACTAAGTGATAAATATAAAGATGTCAAAAATGCTATTGAATATGGAAGGGAGACTCTAACTACTGATGTGATAATAAATGTATTGAGAAATAAAGAGTTAGAGTTAAAATCTGACAAGAGGGAGTCTGTTAGTGGTGAAAATTTGATGGTTAAGTCTAAACCAAACACAAATCCAAAAGTTGTCAATTTCAATAAGCAACCCGGACACAAAAAGAAGGTCAACTTTAAAGATAAAATAAAAACCAAGACTAAGGGTAAAAAGTGTTTTTACTGTCTAGGTGAAGGTCATTTTATCAAAGACTGTCGAAAGAGACTTAATAATTTGAGAAATAAGTCTAATAATGATGGTGGTACTGCTTTAGCCTATAATAATGAGACCAACGTAGATGAGGTTTATGTTGCTGTACACAGTCCACCTAGTCAAGAGTGGATCTTTGACTCCGGTTGTACCTTTCACATGTGCCCTAGAAGAGAATGGTTTAGTGAGTTTGAAATGTAAGTCGAGGCCAAGTGTTAATGGGTAATCACATGTCTTGTCAGGTTAAAGGAATGGGAACAATCACTTTAAGGTTGGATGGTAATAATGAATTGATCTTAGATAAGACTAGGTATGTTCCTGACCTACAAAGAAATTTGATATCCTTAGGTGTTCTAGATGACCTGAACTACAATATTGTGATTAACATGGGATACATTAAGATCTTGAGGGCTCTCAACTTGTTGCCGAAGCCCCCAAGAGACATGGGCTTTACATTTTATATACTTAAAACTTTTTTGACTTCACATCAACAGCAATTTCTGCCCCCAATGATAAGTCACAATTATGGCATAAAAGATTGGGCCATATTAGTGACAAAGGTCTTCAGATTTTGAAAAAAAAAAGGTGCCTTTGGTAAAGATATAATTGAGAAACTCAGTTTTTGTGATCATTGCATACTAGGAAAGCAAAATAGATTACCATTTCTGCCTGGGATGCATAAATCTGTGTCTATTCTTGAATATTTGCATGCTGATCTTTGGGGACCAGCTACTGTGCCCACACATACTGGTTTCAAATTTTTCCTTTTAATCATAGATGATTTTTCTAGGAAAAACTGGCTTTTTCTGCTTAAACATAAGTCTGACACTTTTAATGCTTTTAAAGAATGGAAAATCTTGATTGAGAATCAAACAAATAAAAAGATTAAAGTGTTGAGGACTGATAATGGGCTTGAGTTTTGCAATTATGAATTTGATGAATTGTGCAAAGTGCATGGTATTCTAAGACACAGAACAGTGACACACACCTCACAACAAAATGGCTTGGCTGAAAGAATGAACCGGACTATTCTTGAGAGAGTTAGATGCATGTTATTAGGTTCTGGTCTTCCCAAGTTATTTTGGGGGGAAGCTGCAAAAATTGCTAGTCATCTCATAAATAGAAGCCCCGCTAGTGCTATACAATTTAAATCCCCTGAAGAAGTTTAGACAGGAAAACCTGTAGATTTGAGTAATCTAAAAATATTTGGGTGTGCTGCCTTTGCACATCAATCTGAAGGAAAACTTGAACCTAGGACCCTTACATGTGTTTTTTTGGGCTATGGTGAAGGGGTATAGACTTTGGGTAAGAGAGACCAAAGGTTATAAGATCATTATAAGTAGAAATGTGGTGTTTAATGAATCTGATCTGCCTTGTTTGAAATCTGAAAATAACACTACTAAATCTAGTCAGACTGAAAATGAAGGAAGGGAAACTGAAATTGAGGTGGAGCAAGTTAATAATGATAATCTACAACATGATCAGATTGAAAATAGTGAAATTGAGGCTCAAAATGATGAAGAAACTGATCAAAATGAATCTAATTTTGAGGTTAATCAACCCTTAAATGATTATCAACTTGTTAGAGATAGAGAAAGGAGAAAAATAAGACCACCCATAAGATTTGATGATGAAATATCCCTTCTCACTGTTCAGGGGTTCATTGAAAATGAACCCGAGTCCTATAAAGATGCTATGAGTAGTAAGGACTCTAAGCATTGGCTAGAAGCAATGCATGATGAGATGGAATCGTTGAGAAAGAATAAAACTTGGACCTTGGTTAAAAGACCTAAGGGAAAGAGAGTTATAGATTGTAAGTGGATCTATAAGATCAAAAGAGGTGAAAAAGATGAGAATGACATTAGATACAAGGCAAGACTTGTGGCTAAGGGTTTTGCTCAAAAGGAGGGGATAGACTTTAATGAAATATTTTCCCCTGTTGTAAAATTTACAACTGTTAGAGTTATACTCGCCCTAGCAGCTCAATTTAATTGGGAATTAGATCAATTGGATGTAAAAACTGCGTTTTTAAATGGAGATCTTGAAAAGACCATTTTTATGGAACAACCTAAAGGCTTTGAAGTGAATAAAAATTTAGACTTAGTATGCCTTCTTAAAAAGTCACTTTATGGTTTAAAACAAGTTCCAAGACAATGGTACAAGAGATTTGACACTTTTGTGCTTGGACTTGGTTTTAAAAGAAGTAATTTCGATACTTGTCTTTATTGTAAAGGAAATGGAGGTGAGAATTCACTCTATCTTCTACTTTATGTGGATGATATGCTTTTAGAAAGTCATGACATAAAGGAAACAAAGTCAATTAAAGACAAATTAAAATCTGAATTTGAAATGAAGGATTTAGGTCTTGTTAGAAAAATCTTGGGTATCGAAATTAAAAGAAATAGAAGAGAGGGCACATTAAGCCTAAATAAAAAATCTTATGCTTTGAAAATACTTGAAAGATTTGCAATGTCCGATGCTAAAAGTGTGAGTCTACCTTTAGCTAATCACTTCAAATTATCTAATGATCAATGTCCCAAAACTGAAAAAGAGTTTAAAAGAATGGCTAGAGTGCCATATTCTAATGCTGTGGGGTCAGTTATGTATCTAATGATTTGTTCTAGACCTGATTTGGCATTTGCAATAAGTGTATTGAGTAGATACATGTCTAATCCTGGTGAGGTTCATTAGGAAGCGATGAAGTGGCTTCTAAGATACATTAAGGGAACTTGTGACCTAGGAATTGAGTATAGAAAACAATCTGAGGGTGTTATTTTGAGTGGTTTCATTGATTCTGATTATGCAGGTGATAGGGATAACAGAAAATCGACTTCTGCTTATGTATACACTTTATATAATTCCTGTATAAGTTGAAAATCACAATTACAAAAGATTGTTGCATTATCTTCAACTGAAGCAGAATATATAGCTGCTACTGATGCAATTAAAGAGGGAATTTGGCTAAAAGGACTTCTAAATGAATTTGGTTTCATAAATGATGTTGTCTTACATTCTGATAGTCAATTTGCTATATATTTGAGTAGAAATCGTGTGTTACACAATAGATCTAAACATGTTGATGTGAAATTTCATTTTATTAGAGATGTAATTTGTCAAGGTGTTGTTAAACTTGAAAAGATTTCTACCCATTTTAATCCTGCTGATGTTGGAACTAAAGTGTTGCCTTTAAACAAGTTTTTGAACTGTTTAAAATAGCCGAATCTTAACTTTTGCTGATTTGTGTATCAGGGAATAAGAGCACATGATGTCATGTTCGGAGGAATCACTATAAATGATATTGGAATCATTGTACCAAGGTGGAGAATGTGGAGAAAGTGGCACAATGATGGGCCAACTGGGCTGGAATTAATCTGCTGTTTCAGTGGGCCGGGTCGTCCAAATTTTAAGTGATTGCTATGTTGTTTTTGTAGAAATTGTAAGCTGGCGAAACACGTTTTTTGTTATAATAAATGGATGCCCAGATTTTGACAAGTGTCACACGTTACACCATTGGATGAAGACTCTAGTGGGTTTCATATTAAAATGGCATTAGGGTTGGACGTCCAGCAGAACCAAAAAACAGAATCAGTTTTCATTCTCTCACCTCACGAGTCTCTGCCTCTCATCTCTCTCTCTCGGTGGTCCTTCAATCTATCAATTTTTGCACTCCAAAAATTAGCCCCTGTTGATGAGAAATTAATCCAACCTTGTATAGATAATCTTGAGTGATTTAACAAGGTGTATTGATGTTATTCTTGAGTGAATACCATAGTCGAATGTATAGAGGCTTATGTTGAAATAATCTTGAGTGATTGTTGTATAGGCTTCGAATCATCATTCTTGAGTGAATGTTGTATGGTTTATGAGGCTTAATTTTGGAAGAAATCTTGTGTGATTTCGGCTGAGTGCTACGAAGATTGTATTAGATAGATTTTGGTTCCATTGATATAGTGATTTCTTCCGTTTGACGGAAGCTCAAAAGGGGATTAGGAACGAAGTTCCGAATCTCTTGCGTTAGGGTGAAAATGCCACGTTCTTTCTTGTATTTTTGCATTTTTTCTTTCATTTCAGTTTTTTTGCAGTTTGCTATTTTTGTTGACTTAAGTGGGCTGATTTCTTGAACTTCTTGTAACAAATTCTTCCAGTTACAACCAGAATCAACATCACAAAATTAGATAACTAACAAGCCAGGGCATAGTGCATAGTTTAGCCACTCATTAGAACAACTTGACATGCCCCAAAAATTAGCTTAAATGAAAACAGACATGGTGCCGTAGAATAGGGCTTTTTGCACCTAGGGATTCAATGATAGCTGACAGTGCTTCCCCGGTATCACCAAATGGAGGCAAACAGCGAAGTCGAAGTGTGAAAAGTGCAGAGCAACGCTCATATAGGCTATTGTCTTCATTCAGTAGAACTTCCCTAAACAATATGCATGAGAATAAAACAATTAATTATATAGACTGGTAAGACCAGATTATGACTATCATTCTAAATCAAGATCTGCAAACCTTAATTCTGGATTAGGACGAAAGACAGGTGGAGCTGGTTCGAAGCACTTGAAATATACTAATTTATCAGAGGTAGCATTTTTTAGCTCCCTAATTCGAATAAGGGCCAGTTCACATGTATCTCAAACTTCTTGAGATGGATCCGATTGGAAACTAGTCTTCAAAACTGGAACACTAGTCTCTAAACCAAATGCACCAAGAGATTCTGCAGCCTGTTAAATAAACAGAGTATCAAAAAACAGAGAAATATACATTATCCAAATTTGAAAGCACAATACCTTTAGGCGAACAATGGTATGCAAGGAAAGATCCTCTACAACAGCTTCTAAAGAAGGGATTGCATTAGGTTTTTGCATCCGACCCAAACTATATGCGGCCTCATATGCCAGCTGGGTTGAATCATCCCTCATCGCTAGAACAAAAAATAAAATAAAACTTCATCACTCTAAAAAGAAATAAGTGATAATAAAAAAGAAAAAGATAAAATCGAAAAGCTGCATCTCATTTACATACGGTACCTTTGATGAGGGAGTTGAGGGCATGGGAGTGGCGATCGATACTGGTCAAACCGAAAGCTCTAAATGGCTCTGAAATTGGTTGGTTTTCATCCTGTTTTGCGCGGGTTAGTCGCTAACAATTAAAAATTGATCAGACGATTGTGTAAGGGACAAACCTCTTGAGACAAAGTCCCAAAAATGGGCATTTTTATTGGCGATGACTTTACAATTAGAAAGTAAAAACAGAATGCCTCCAAGGGGCGCAAGCACACGAGTTACTGTAAAAGAAGTGTTTAAATCTAAACTAAGAAATTGAAAGTTACATATTCTCTGTTTGAGAGTGTTTGATTCGGGATCTTTTACTCTATGTCTTTTCTTCATTTTATACTCCCTGGATGATTTCTTCGTGATCAACCGCTTAAGAAACTGCTTGATCACTCTATAACTATCCACTTTCCTTGTAGTGGCAACTTGTCATGGAACTGCCTTCTCTAATCTGCTGCTATTACTTTTGTCGTTCAACCGTCTTCAATTGAATTCCTTGAATCGTGGAACGTGATAGGACTACCCAATAACTGCTTCATTAACTGTACTCTTGGGTAACCATAACTTCTTATGTTTGCTAAGATACTGAGCGACTTGAATGTTTGGACGAGAGTAGAGTCACAGCTCTGGACGACTGCATGGCAATTCATTCGCTAAAATCTTGGGCGACTTGCAACCCTGGACGATGGTATTACCGCGTTCATGGGCTTCCCTATTTGGGCATTTATCCTGTATTGCCTGATTGATTCGTTCTTTGGGCTATTTGATTTTAGGGATCTTCCAGTTGGGCTACATTCCTTAGGCTATTCAATTTGGGCTGAACTTTTTGTGTGTCAACAATTACCCCCCAATATGGCAGACCAATTATTAATTTTTGCCATATTCACTTTGTGTTTCCCAACAACATTCGAACTTTTCAAGAATTTCAATCATTGTTTTCTTCCATAGTCTGAAAAGGTGCGACGTTTGCAAACCCTTATAACCCCCAAATATGCTATTTCATTGCACCACTAAATCACGCCTCTCTCGCAATATTACTGTTCACCTCCTTGCCTCTCTACTACGTAACTCTGCAAAACTCTACTTCGTCCCCTATGCTTCTCAATCTCAGTCTGGTGACTCCTTCAGTTTTGAAGACTTTCAGAAACTCCTTACTCGGTCATATGTAACTCCGAACTTTCTTGCACCGATCAATGTCGAACTCAATGAGTTCTATCTAGGTCCTTCATTCAACAATGCTGAGGCCATCGAACAAGCGGCGGTCGGTCAGCTGTTTCCTTGTACTCAGGGCCCTCCGTTTCTAAATTCTTTGCCGCTGGGGCTACTTCGCAAAAAAGGTATTCGCACTTGACCTAAATCTGATGTCGTTTTTCGTAGATGGCATGCTCGCCTTGTGGACCATGGTCCTACTAAGACAATTTTTGATAATGCTAGGATTTCTGATTTGTTAGAAATCTCTTTTCAACCCCCTATTTTTGACTCAGTACTTTTTCCAATCGCTTTAAGTTTTTGGTCTTCTGAGTATAATACTTTTGTTTTTCTCTTGGTCCCATGTCCATTACCTTAAGGGATGTTGGAGCCCTAGTAAATCTGCCACCTTTGGGCGATACCATTTTCCCTGGTATTTTGATTTCTGGTGTCGCCCCAAAATTTGGTAAAGGCCTCACCGAGTCTTATTCAAATCTGCAAACCCTTCAAAACCACTCGAGCGCTGAGCCTTCCCATACCGAGGGAGTGTCCTTTCTTCTAATTTGGCTTTGTAAATACATTTTGTGTGTGCCAAACATAAAGCCCTCCCTGAACTATTTACCCATAGCGCACGAATTGGCGCGTGGTAGGCCTCTGAATTTATGTTCTTTCTTTTTAGCCACCCTCTATAGAGGCATGGCCTCTCTTCAATCCCAATTGAAGAATGGTGCATCTCCCACTGGCAGTGAGCCTCTTTGGTTTGCTCAAATGTGGTTGAGAGTTTATTTTCCATTGCTTGGTGCTCCATCTTTTTTCAGTCCTTCTGCTAGCTGCTATGGGCTAGCCATTGAGCCCCTGACTCCTGTAAATATGTCCAAAAGGGACATTTTTTCATTCTTTTATTCTTTGGATTCAATCCCTTCCTTCTTTCCTTTTCCTCCCTTTTTGACTCCAAATTATGTACAACCTCCATCCACTCTGGATAATGCGAACACTTTCTATTTGTTTGGATTCAGTTTTTGACCAAAAGGGAGTTGTTTCATGATATTTTGACTGGGATCAATGCCAAGGCTGGGGTCGAATTATATGCTCCCCAATTTTTTGCTCGCCAACTTGGTTTTGGCCAAACTTGGCCCGTTCTCCCTTGCTATTCAAAGAATTTGATAGACCGCTTCCACACCATTAATAAGGTGGAGGCAGAGGCTATAAATACTCGCAATTTTCTTTTGACGAACAGCTTTTCATTAGCCCCCTTCAATCCTAACCGTGCCATCCATTCCCTTTTTGAACGACTTTGGCTGTCAGTGAAGCGCAGATTGTTTGCGACTGATGCCAATCGTGCTTTCCATTTACTAGGCCAATCAAACATTTCTTCCACCTCTCCTGTTTTGGTCACTCCTGTGTCCATTAGGAGTCCCTCTTCTTCTGCTTGTGCTAAACAATCTGCCCGTCCATCGACTTCTCTTCCTGCCAAGCTTACTGCAGCGAAAAGTGCCCAAAGCCTCAAACGGCCAGCCTCAGCGTCTCCCATTTTGGAGGATGATGCTGATGCTGATGCTGATGATACCCCTCTCATCGTCAGGAGGAAGGTAATTAAATTGGTTTACTCATAAGTATACCTTTCCATACTTGAGACTTTTCCATGTGCTGATAGTTTATTTGGATTTCTCAGAAAAGTTCAGCCTCTCCTTTGAAGGCTTTGGTGTCGGCAGCTCCTGCTCCATCATCCTCTACTGGGGCCGTTTCATCCACACCAGCTGATGAAGGGACTACGCTTAAAGAGAAATCTTCAGTCCCAAAATCTTCATCACAACCAATGGACGAGCCACCTTTTTCCCGGGGCGTTGACCCCCAAACGTCGACGCAGAAGGTAATTCATTTTTTGATGCTTTACCTTTGCTTGTGCTATTGGTGTTGATTTGTTGCCTTTTGACTTCTGCAGATGTTCCCACGAGTATGCCCATTGCGGTAAGGTCTTCTCGCTTAGACAAGGGGAAGTCCTCACAAATGGTGGAGCCACAGGTGGCAGATTTGGCTGGGGATATACCATCTTCCAAGATTGCTGATGAGGTAATCTTTGCTTCACTTTTACTTCCACTTTGTTTAGTATAGTGGAAATCTTCAATATTGGCGATTTTCTTTGCAGGATGCCGATAAAATTGTATGTTCCATTCAAGACTTGTTCACTTCCTGGGGGCAAGTCAAAACATCTCGACCGCTTCAGCCAGTTGTCCTTCTGCTTTTTCAGAGGACGATATGAAGTTCCTCAAGCAGTCGATATTTGAGTATGTGTCCTTCATGGATATGGACGTCGGTAAGGCTAGTGCTGCCAGGCATAAGGATAAGTTTGAGCATTTGAATGCGAAATTCGAGCAAGCACTGACACTTCCGTCGCTCAATCTTTCTGCTGATTTTAAAGCGACATTGAAAGTTATCCATTCCGAGGTCCTTTCCTTGCTGGCCAAGAATGTTGAACTGAAGGCCAAAAGTACTCAATATCTTCGCGCCGTATCTGAAAAAGAGTCTTTGCTTCTGGAGATTAACAAAGCTGAGGACGAGTTGAAAGAAATCTCTTTCGAAGTTTGATTGAAGACTCTTTGATGACTAGTTTGGCTGCTCAGATAAAGGAGCTTCAAGTCAAGATGGACGACTGCAAGGCGAGAATGGTTGCTAAAAAGTGTAATGCCTCCCAAGGAATTGAGCGAACTAAGTCTTTGGTCGAGCAGTACAAGAAGTTGGAAGTTGATGATGATGTTGTGGCTGAATTGAACATCATTTCTTCTTGGCAGAACGAGGACTGGGGGAACCTTAGGGAAAGAATTCGTTCGGTATGGGACGGATTGTAATTAAGACATATAATGCTTTAACTTTTTCTTTTTGTAATTTCGCTTTTGACTTTCCCTTTGTAACCCTGTACTGATATAACAGCAGCCATTATTGTCAATGAATAACTATTTTAGCTTCTTGTGTATTTATTGACGTTCGTCTTTTAATCGTCAATCGCTCAGGCACTTAACTACTTTATGCTAAATTTTTTTGCACATTTTCTTATGATATTTCTGCCCGATTTTGGGCCATTTAATCCCATTTACTAGATACAAATACAGCTGCTCATATTCTGTCTTTTCACCTTCACTCCCCTATAAATGTCCATTATATTCTATCTTTTCACCTTCACCTCCCTATAAATGCACATATACCTCATACTTTCCATCTTCATTTCCATTTTCTTCTTCAAAAAACCAATTTGTTGCCATTGCTTGACATTTTTGACAATCAATCAAAAGCTTTAGTTTTCCATGGAAATGGATCATCTGATCCGCCTACTTTGCCATCTTTCTTGATGTCACCTTTGGTATGGGAGATATAGGAAATATTCTTTGGCCGGCTGCAAAGTTCTTCCCATCGTCTCCGTTCCTACAAGGAGTTCAATAATGGAAAACGATTTTTGAGGTGCTTGCAGGCCACCTTACCTGCTGAGAGTGCTTCTCAGCCTCCTTGCCTGTCGTTGCAGCGATGCATTTAGGAAAGCGATGTGAGGGCGGTTCATCTTTCTTTCTGCTTACTGAGAGTGCTTCTCGGCCTCTCTGCTTGTCTTTACAACAGTGTGATCAAGGCCAGTACACCCTCTTACTCGATGATCGACTGGGAGATTAGTTTGCTCTTAATCGTAGTTTATAGAGCATTTAGCATCTTGTATTTTGCAGTTTTGTAATGAACATTTGATAATAAAGGAATTTATTTGAACGTATTTCGCTCTGACCCTTTTTACTTTACGATCGTTCAATGAGATTTTATTACGCTTTTATTTGTTCACTTTCCCATAAGGAAGAAACATATTTTTTCAAATATTTGCCATTAATGAACTTCATGTGTTTGGTGCCGTCTAAATCTTCCAAATGATAGACTCCATTAGGCAATACATTATTCACTTTATATGGTCTTTCCCAATTGGAAGACCATTTGCCATACTTTGGATCTTTACTATCCAAAGGGAATACTGTTTTCCAAACTAGTTCTCCCAAGCTGAACGACTTGGCTATAACTTTTTTATTATAAAACTTAGTCATTCTTCATTTTTGAACTTGCAATCTATCTAGGACATCTAACTTTAATTTGCCCAACTCTAATAAGTTTTGAAGCAGTGATTCGGTATACTCATCATCACTTAACCTATGTTGCAAACACACTCTGATCGATTGCATGTTGATTTTCATAGGCAATACGGCCTCCTATCCATAAGTAAGTTGGAAAGGAGTAATTTTGGTATTTGACCGAGGCGACGTCCTATAAGCCCATAAGGCTTTGTTCAGACATTCGTGCCAATTTCTAGCATTTTCATCTATCATTTTCCTTATGATATTTTTTAGAATCTTATTAGAAGATTCTGCTTGCCCATTGGATTGAGCGTAATATGGCGTGGAGTTTACTAATTTAACTCCAAACTCGCTCAAAAATTTAATTACTTGATCCCCATTTAAATATGTCCCGTGATCTACCATCAAAGTTTGTGGAATTCCAAATCTATAAATGATGTGATCACGAATAAATTCTATGACATTCTTCTAGGTGATCTCCTTTAAAGGTACCGCCTCCACCCATTTAGTGAAATAATCGGTTGCAACTATAACAAAAGTATATTGCTTGGACGATGGGGGATAAATCTTCCCTATCAGGTCTATCGCCCAACCCTTGAACGGCCAAGGTTTAATCATAGGTGTCATCTCTCGTGCTGACGCCCTTTGTATTGGACCATGCTTTTGGCATGCTAAACAACTCTTTGCATACTGAACGCATAATTCTCCCATCTTTGGCCAAAAATATCCACTCCTAATAATTAACCATCTCATCCTTTGGCCAACTTGATGAGCTCCACATATCCCTTCGTGCACTTCAGCCATGATCGTCATGACTTCTTACAAACTTACACATTTTAGCAGTATACCATCAGAGCGTTTCTTGAACAACTCTTCATCTATTAATGCATAGTTTAGCAAACGCAACTTTATTTTTCTACTATCCCTTTTATTAGGTTCTTTAAGGAACTCCTTAATCTCTGCCCTCCTATCCATTACATCTCCATCTTGTATGCAATGAAGTTCAATCCTTCTCGCCCTTCTTTGGATCACGGGCAATATTGTTTCATATTCACAAGTAGACTTCTAATTTAAAACCTTCGAGTACCCTGAAGCCATCTGGGCCAACTCATTTGCTACGTCATTGTATATCCTATTAACGTACTGAAGTTCTACTTGGTCAAATTCTTCTAATAACTCTTGGGCGATTTCATATTGACTCATGATGGAATCACTTTGGCATTTAAAATCACTAATCAGTTGGTGAATTACCAATTGAGAATAACCTCTAATGTTTACATTTTTTACCCCCATATCTATCATTAGTTCCAGACCCACAATTAAGGCTTCATATTCGGCCTGATTGTTGGTGCACATCCTATCCAAAGTGAATGCGAACTTGTAGCAAATCCCTAAAAGATTTATCAATGCTACTCCTGCACCTTTAGAGGTTTTTGACCCATCGAAATACAACACCCAAGGTTTTAGCTCGAACGAATTGATTTCTAATTCAATTTCTTCAGGCATGTCAAGGCATGGATGATCGGCTAGAAAGTTAGTCAAAGCCTGATTTTTGACTGCCTTTTGGAGTATGTATTGTATTTCGAATTCTAATAAAACTAACGTCCAAAGGCCTACCCTTTGATGTAAAATAGGGCGAGAGAACATATACTTAATCAAATTTACTCTAAAAATCAAATAAACGGTTACGGGCCGTAAATAAGCCCATATTCATCTTTGTTTCTATAGTATTCTTTTCAGGAGATAATTTGTGCAAAATAGTTTGATTTTCTTTAAATAAGGTAAAGATAAGACAAAATATCTCATCATAAATAAAATTTTCGGAATCAAATCAGGTTCTCCTATTTAAACAGTACCTATAGTGATAAACTACTACAACCTCGCCTTACTCTCTTATGGCTCTGATACCAAAAGGGGCCCAAGAGGGGAAGAGCAAAAATGAAAATGAACAAATGTTTGAAAATGAAAATAATTTTAGTGATATATGAAAATTGAAATACATAAAACTATTGATAAAATTTCTTTTTTGATAGTAAAATAATTTTTTTGAGGGCCAGTCCATACACAATTATAGAACCTAATCAACTGTTCTTGACTTGACTCTTTTGGAATTTGTTTTAGCACACCACCAAAGTCTAAATCAGAGGCATCGATTTTGACAATAATTGAAGCAGTAAGGTCAAGAATTGATAAGCACAGAATATTTCTGAAAGTTTTTTTGATTTTTTGGACAGCTAATATGCACTCGTGACTTCATGGGTCCTGGTTATTTTGTAATCTTTTGAAAAGAGGAACACAAATCAACTTTATCTCTTTGATAAAGTCGCCAATATAATTGATACAACCAAGGAATCTTTGAAGAGAAGATTTGTCTAAGATTTCATCAGAAAATTTTTCAGTAAAATCAAGACTTCTCTAAATTGGAATAATTGAACCATTTTAATATCATGACTTAAAAATCTTATCTTTGTTTGACATA